GATGGGGGTTGGAGATAGGAGAAGAGATGGCTAGTAAATCTTTTTTTTTTTTTTTTCTTTTTGGACAAGATTTTCTAGGCTGCAGAGGCTGGCCTCAAACTTGTGATCCTCCTGTCTTAGTCTCTTGAGTATTTGTGATTACAGGTGTGTGCTTTCAGAACTGGCTAGAAATGACTACTTTTAAAATCTTATTACTGAGTATTGTATAATTTTATGTTGGTAGCAAGTTGAATATTACAATGTGCTATGGGTGCTACATTTGTAAAAATGACTTATATGTCAGAAGATATTTACTAAGTTTCCAATAAACATAAGCGATAATAGGAGCAAAAATGAATAAGGCAATAATTTTGCCCTCATTGACCCATTTCAGAGGAATTCTACCAGAAAAAGGAAGTTTATTAAATTGAGGAACTAAGTAGGTTGAAGGTGATAGAAATGATTAACTTAAGAATACAAAATGCAGAGAAGACACATGATGCTTAGCTGATCAGCAGGAGGAATAGGTTGAGGTTCTAGAGAATACAAAACTAAGGGAAGAACTGAAAGAACTTATAGAGGGGTGTATGTCTTTTAACCCCACATAAGCCATTTCTCTCTCAGTACAAAGGATTGTGTTCCTTCACTCAGGAGTAAGCTTTTAATCTTGGAAGATATTCAAGTAAAAATTAAACAACTTTTCCAATCAATTTGAAAAAGAAATTCCTGCTTCCAGGAAGAGTGAACCTCATGTGGCCTCTAACTTCCCCTGTTGTTGTTCTTATTGGGTAGAAGACCTCCCAGATCAAGTGGAATCCTCAGTGTCACTTAAATTCCATCACATCCTCTCCTTCTAACTGAAACCCTAGAGTCACTCTATGTGCCTTCTGGTTTAGGACCCCAGGCCACCGCCTATGCAGCCTTGGTTGCTTCTGGGAGTGATCTGGAGCCAGGGGAGGTAGGCACTGGCACTGCTGCCCGGACTTTAACAGTATTCTGAATCCATTGCCCTCCATGGCTTCCCTTGCGGTTGGCACCTTATGAATTCAGTTCTCTGTCCCTTAGAGCCTGAGGAATTCTCTCACTAGCATTTAAGTTTGTTTTTAATCTCAGAACATAAACAAAGAAACATGTGTACTAACAAGGCATGGTTTAGAATTGGGGATATGAAGAATTCCCTGTTTAGGTAGAAAGTGAGTGTAGTTAAATTATTTTTTCATTAATTCTCTCTCTCTCTCTCTCTCTCTCTCTCTCTCT